AGTTGCCATATGTCAAATAAACTTCTTTGACAACCACATGTGGCCATTACCATGATATGAAATTATTATTTTATTATGTTTACTCAGCATGGTCATGATATTAATGAGACTAAAGACCAAATTTTGTTATTAGTTTGTGAAACATTCTTATATATAGCAACAATATCCCCATTTCAGGCAGTGCTGGTCATGTCTTTGATATTTGTACTTTTCATGGTATTTTACATGACCAGCTCTTACGGCTTTGGGAGAAAAAAAATGAGTGGTACCATTATAACTTAGCATTTTCTTTAAAAAGATCCACAGTTTTTAGCTTTCCTTACTCCTTTATTGTAGTTATTCACTGATGTATTTCCATACCAAATGTGCTCTCTTTTATGATTCCTTAAGCTTAAAAAATATTGCATATACCTTGAGGGGAATTGGATCATTTCTATTTCGCATTGCACTTGAGTAATGCTTTGAGTTGAATACTCTGAGGGTTCTAAAATTAAGTTAATCCATATGTAATTAGGAATGTTCTTAACTAGACAGTCTTGGTTAGCAGGAGATTGGCAGGTTATTCTGAAAGTCTAGCAAACCATAAATAGCAATTAAATGAGAAAAGGCTAAATTTCTCTTGAAAATGTGTTGTTGTCATAACTTAATATGGCAACATGATTTTCTATTTTTAATTGTTGTAGACCATTTGTAAGATAGAATTTTGCCTTCTGAAAGCTTGATAGTTCTATAATTTTGTACCACTTACGCTTTTTAGCACTTAAGTATTTTGCCTTTACCAGCCCCTTTGATTTATGATGAATAAAATAAACTAAAGGTTAGTAAAGATAGTTTTGTACTTATTAAATACATTGAGACAAAATGAATATCCTGGAGAAACTAAGTATTTCTCTTTTGAGACTTTGTGTAATTTATTATGCCTTTAAAAAATAACATAGTACTTTTATTCCCAGTACAGTTATACTTAACTTTGACAGTAAAAGGTGTTCCTTTTTTAATTCAAAGAATGAAAACTTTGCTCCATACTCCATGTCAATATTGGGATTCAGGGAGGATTTCAATGTGCTAAATTCAGGATTCTGTCCCCTCCCGAGATGCTATGTACTTAATGCGCTCTGTAGTCTCTTACTTGTTTCTTCATTTGCACAAGTCATTTCAGAAGGAATTTATGACAGTGACATCTTTTAGTAAATAACAGTAAGTTATAGTGTACAATAACTGTAGATGCTCAGCTGCTTAAAAATACCTTTATCACTTAAAATACATTTTCTTTTATCTCCTAATTAGCATGAAAATACAGAGGAGGTTATTTCTTCAATTACATGTGCAAGATTAATCACTAGGCAATTTGTTTCACATTATAAAATAATTAAATGTAAAAAATGGAGTATTTACTTATTTACCCCTATATGCCTGTCAAAAAAGTGTTGGAAAAGTGCAAAAATATAGTGCTATTTGCATATATTTTTATTGAGCCAACACTAAGGCTTGCACCTAACTGGAATCTATTAATTAATACCAGAACTACCTAAGCCATTCATTCTTACTATAGTTTCCCATGCTATTTTAGAAAATGAGAAATTTTTCCATATACAGAGTAGAGCCTGGGGATGGGGCAGGGGTGGCAGCAGTGGGTCTAGCTCTTCAGTGTTCTGGGAACAGAGATAAGTGGTTTTGTTTTTTGTTTTGTTTTTTACTAACAGGATTTTCCAAAGTACCATCAAAGTGAAGCAAGTGAAGAGAGAGGTGGTGTGTTACTTTCCTGCTTTGTCCTTGCTCTTATTTTCGCTGCTCTGCACTCCTGATTGCAACACCACCAGATCAGAATAAACAATTAACTGTCTAATTATTCCAGTCACACCAGCCCACAATGAAATCTTTATTCCGTGTTTACAGCAATCTTTGGCAGAGGCTGTCTTGCTGTTTCTAAACTAAGAAGAACTGCCCTTTGGCTCCTCTCAGCATCAGCTGCCTTGGTTTCAGCCGTGGATGCCAATAATCAGACTGCTTTTTCTTCCAAAGTAGACACTTTTTTTAGGGTGAAAAGACCTATTCTCATCACCCCCCATATATTCTGGCTGATTTATGTTCTAGCCACTGCAGCTCTTCCTTCCGTATCTCTTTACATTTTTCCTCTGTCCATAGAACACCACCAGGCAAACCCCCATTCTAAGTCTAAAACTGGAAAAAATGCTTAACCAAACAGTGCTCACTACTATGAAGGAAAGAAAAATACAACTACTGGTTTATGGGGAGAAGGAAGTCAAGGAAATCCCTCCTGCTTTTCTAAACTGCTAATTTTCTAGCTCAAATGGCATTCAATGACTTCTCCACCAGGGGAAAACGTATTCACTTTTCAGTGGCTCTCTTGATTACTTCCAACTATTTACTTAAATTCGCCAATAGTTGCATGTGTTTGGGAAGCTTCAGAGTTTGAGGAATATTTACAGATATATAAGGGGCTGAAAGAGTACCTTTGAATCTCTTTGAAATGGCAAGGGCGAGCTATTGCAGTGTCCAGGCAGGGCCGTAGAAGTTAACACCAACCCGAAGATAAGATGCAGGCAATGCCTTTACCAAAGGGAAGAGGGAAAAACACCTGGGTTGGCCCTTTTTGAACCATCTGATGGAGTCCCCTCCCTGAACCTGAGAGCAGATGGTGGCCAATGCTGGGTCTCACTGCTCAGCTGTCTTTCCCAGAACATTTTCCTGTTTTGCAGGGATGATGGCATCTTTGTTCCCAAACTGGTCTCCAAACCCTCTGTGACGGTTCCCCTAACAACCGATGCTCGGCTCTCAGCTCCCAGCACTTACCACATTCGCACTGCTGATCCTGTGAGAAGTGGGTCATAAAATTTTACAGGGAAGAAAGGTAGAAGGGGGCGGTTCAGTAGTATAAACACTGATTAAATTCCTGGGCAACTCGCCCCAAATGAAAGATAATTTTTTCTACAAGTATGCACAAGCATGTCAAGAATGCTAAGTCATTTTTATGTGTATACTTCTCCGTTTTAATTTCACACTGCCACATGGCACACATGCTAAAAATGTATCAATCTCCTTAACCTGCAGTGAAGCAAACTTTTCACAAAACTTTAAAAATGCATATTTTATGGACTGTCCTTTCCCAGGATGCTCAAAGCATTTTGGGGATACAAAATGATAACTATCCTATTAGGAAGGCATGGCTATGGGTGCACTAGCAAACAGGGAAAATCCGCACTGGGAAGGAAAGGTTATACCAAAGTCAGTGGCAACAGCCTACCCAGACTCTGAGATCTTGGTTCCAATTCATACTACTTTCTGCTTGCTCTTCATTTGTCTCTCTGACAGGAAGGGATGTGGCCAGCAAGGAGGTTTGACCTCATCTCCCATACTGGTTTAACTCGGACACTATTCTCCCACACTCCTGCCCTATTTTCTGAGTCATCAGCTGGCCAAGTCTGTTCCGTGGAGGAGCTCTAACCAGGGGCCAGGCCAAGAGGAGGCAGCCGCAGGTGCCCTTGTGGCTGCCTCCAGTGTTGGGAACTGAAGCCTGCCCCTGCCAAGTAACATGCCCAGTGAGACTGTGAGGGTCACACTAAGAGAAAAATTAATTTCCAGGCAGTATAATACACAAGAGGAAAAAGCTGGGTCAAGCATGGGGTTCCAGACTGGCAGTGCCTTCAGGGTTCCACTGCCAGATGATGCAGAGAAAGGTAATCAGATAGACATTAATATTCATTTGTGGCCTTGGTGCAAGCACATTACAGAGTTGTGACTTTTTCTTGTTTTCACTGTTCTTAGGTAGATCCAGCTCCGTAGCTGGATCCCTGACACTGCCACATCTCTGGGGGGTAATTTTCTTTGGTGGGGAAGATACATCAGGAACCAGAGGGTGTCAGGGGACATTTTATTTGGTGAGGGGCAGGCTCAGTTTCCAGGCGAACTATAAGTCAGAAGACAAAATCCTTCCTGGCATTTGTGCCAATAACAACATCAATAGCGTTAATACTGGTGATAATAATGGCAACAAGAATGAAACAGCAAGCTGTGAATCTTTCAGGCGACCAAGCAATCCCCTATTGATCTGCATCCAGTGCTCTTACTTCCTGCCTGGTCTCCGCAGGAGAAGAAAGGCTCTGGTGCTGCCTCGGGGCTGCCCTCCAGGTTTCAGCCCCCAGCCCGCCCGGAGGTGGATAGCCAGGCAGAGGTCTGGCTTCAGACTAAGTCCAGCCCACAGTCTCTCCTGTTGCTAAGGGCCAGTTGGGTTTCCGCTGTAGCATTTCCTTTACAAATCTGCAACTTTCACCTCTCACTGCTCCCTCACCTCAGTACTTCCGCCCTACTCAGTGCAACTACAACGTGCAAAGCACAAACAACCCGCACGCAATCCAGCAATTCAGAGCTTTCCCTGGAAGTGTCAAGGCCCGGGGACAGGAAATCCGGGGAGTTAGCGATGTCCGGCAGGTGGTCGGGACACAAGTCATCACCACATTCTTCTCTCTCGGCTGAGCTCGGGTGGGGGTGCTGCTCTAAGCACGACTGAAACCGGACTCACAGGCGCCCGGCGCCTCCCCGGAGCCTGGATCTCTAGTCCCCCTTCCCTTCCCGGGCGCGCATCCCTAAGCGAGGGACGCAGCTGGCCCTCTTCCATGGGCGGCTGGAGGGAGGCGCCGCCCTTGGGGCAAGCGAGAGCGAAGCCCAGCCTAGCGCCCCAGCGAGTCTCCCTACCCCCGCGTGCCCAGCTCCGGCTGCCAGTGCGCGCATCCTCCTTTACCCCGCTGCGCCCCAGCTTCCTTATCCCAGAGAGCGGTTTCCCAGTCCAGACATCCCTTCACGTCCCCTTCCTCCCAAAGTCCGAGGAAGTCCGATTTCCACCTGCCCGCAGACTCGCTGCGGAGGCGAGTATTTGCGGGGAGAGCGCGTCAGGGAGCAGGACCCCGCGCAGAGCCTGGGATCGACTTCCCCCGAGAGCCTGGGGACAGACGCAGGGGCCTGACCCGAGCTCTCCGCTTTACCTGGCACGGCCGGCGACTCTCCGAGGACGTTCGGTCCAGGCTCCTCCAGGGCGGGCGTCCAGCTCACATTGCTGCCAACCTTCACAGCTTTTCTGCCTCCGGATCTTTTGCAAAGTCTCCGCGTGGTCACCAGGAGTTGGGCGGCAATGCCGGGAGCGCTTACTCCGCGGATGCCCTGCCCCTGCCTTCCCTCGGTCCCCTGCACTGGACCCCGCCAGGGAGAAGACCTCTTATTTGTGGTCACCGTCCCTTGAGCGTGGTGCACAATCCGCTTCCACTCCCTCGCGCCTTCACTAGCCGGAGTGGCTGCCGCCTGCCTGTGCCGCGGGTCCTCATTTCCCTTCTCATGAATATTCTGACAGAGGCTAATGCCGGTGAAAATTGAATTAGCCAATTGGTGCCAGGAATGTGCGCTCCGCTCCTTCCTTCTGAGGAGCTGTCAGAACACCACCAGAGGAAAGCAATTAGCCTCCGATTGGCACCCTGTGGTTTAGACCAGTGAGGGGCAAAATGGGTTAATTCTTTAAATGCAGTTTAGATGCGTATGTAAACTCTTCTATTGGCTGAGGGAGTGAGGAAATGTTAAGAGGAAGAGGAAAGGGGGTAGGCAGATTGGGGGGTGGGGGGAATGGCATATCTACATCCAAACCCCATTGAAATGGAAGTTGAAGTGACTTATTCTGCATAGATTCTAGATTCTGGAAGAGGCAGTTAACAGAAAAAGATAGGCAAACAGGATCAGAAAAGAGGTGAATAGCATCCTAGGTTTAACCTTGACCTTGAGGGTGCAGAGGATGCTAATTTTCAAGAGGAGGAGTGAGGAGAGATCACGGAGGGAGAAGAGAACCTCAATCATTGATCTACCAGTGAGGAGGGGGGGTCAATGGGGGAACATCTGTCATACTTTCAACAATAAAGATAAATTTTAAAAAAAGATTTATCCACATGCTCATATTTCCTTGCATTATCATCATAACAAAACCATAGAGTTTTAAGCCTTTGGATGAAGTAGGATTGGAGCAGAGGTACTTGAAAGGGCAGAAGTTTCAGAGGAGGAAGCTGAGACTGCCTTGGTGAAGAGCACTATGACAGAGCCATTCTAGGAGGTGATTCCAACTATAGACCAATCTTCGATATTCTAGGGTCAAATAGGCAAGGTAAACAGGAGGGACAATCTCTCTCTTATCTCCAGCCCTTC